TTGTGGTGGGTTCCCCCCCCCCCCCTTTTTTTTTTTTGCAAATCTAGAAACATATTGACCATGCTTAGCCCCAGTTAGACTGGGGTTTGGACAATGAATGTCTAATGTGCTTCAAAGGAAGGACACTACAGAAATGTTATATACACACATACACACAATGAAGTCTGTTTATATAATAAATAATGATGAGAATACCCCTCTTTTATTTCTGTTATGGGAGAGTATATCAATTATGCTGTTTGTCAAACGTTTAGACCGACCCTGAAGACATGACTTTCCAAGTCCAAGCCCAGATTGTAGTTGAAAAGTATTTTTTATTATTATTAGTTTAGGGGCTTAACATGTTTGAGAGGGCCTTGCAATGGCCCTGATGATATGGATTTCATTCTGAAATGAGCCGTCTCTCAGGAGAACAATTTAGCATCACTTCATCAGATTCCCAGCTAAATCCTAATCCAAATTAAGACACCATCTGTTTGGTCCATCTCTTCTGTCATGACACGATCAATCTAATGAACTTTCAGAAAACTTGAATTATTCTGCCTTACAGATTACAAAACAGTGAGTGCACCAATAGCATTTTATAACCCACATACCCTGCCCTATTACTTAACATTTAGCATTATAAATAGCCTTGAAGACAGTCACTAACTAACCAAAATGATTACATTTAATAGCAGAAACAAACAATAAAATAATTGGAAAAGATGTAACTGAGTGAAGTGGTGTATAGTGTTTTTAAATAAAAGGCTGCTTATTTTTAATTCAATCACCTGAGGAACAATTAACAGACAAAAAGGATAGATTACTTCAAATGAAAAATGTAGACAATTTGTTAGAAATAGAGACACACCTGTCTCATTGGTGTGTATAATACTAAAATTGGAAGAATAAGCTACATTATTTGTGTTAAAAATAACCACAGTTCTGTCTACTCACTTCCATGCTCCCCCTTCTCTTCCCTGCCCCTCCCCATTAAAATGATCTTTGCAGTCTCTGAAATACTGACGTTTTCAGGGATTTAGACTCACCAAAGAACTTGCAGCCTCACAGAAATAAGTACCTTCAGTATGCGTCTTACAGCTTGCAGCTTGTTCTTGACAACAGGAACACGAAAAACAAGGAGGACCTAAACAAACCCAATGTAAAACTAAGGGGGAAGTATCCACTTGCATATATTGCAAAAATCAGAATTAAAAGGGAAGAAACTGCCCAATTAAACCGTGAGATGAATCAAAATGTACATCATGTTGCTGCATGGGAAGCCAATCCAAATAAAGCAGATCAAGAGTTTGAGCTAAGGATCTTTCCCACCAACTTCAAAACAGTAATAAAAATAAAAGGTTTAACCTGTAAAGCACAGGTCAGAGATCTTTTGCTTCCATTCATTTGTTTTGTAGTCTGAAGCTTTTAACTGCAACTCTTACTTGGTTTTCAGGGTGTAGCTGAATATGCAGACTAGGAGTCTAAAATTTAATAGAACAAAATCCTATCCTAGGCCCTAGCTGCTTTTGCAGCATTAGGGCAACACCATTAAACAACCAGGGTGAGTGCCCAATAGCTCAGCATAAAACAGTGAGGCCTCCTTACAGATCATGCTAATATTTTCTGCACTGGGGTTACAGGTGGCCCTTGCAGAGTTTAGATACATCATTAAAATATGCCAGCTGTCTGTTAGTTCCTGGAATCCTTCCCCTCCTTACCTCTGGTGCACTAGAACTACACCCAGTTTTACTGCAATTGAGACCATGGTACATGTGATACAAAGCAATGTCACACAGATACGCAGGTTAGCTTGGCATGTACTAGCTATAGAAAGGGAAGTAATATAACACATTAGCAAAACACTGGGTATGTCTACACATGCAATTATACGAAGCAATAAACTTAGTAGCAATTTGAGCCAAAGTAAACTACTCCTGGGCGCATCTGAATGTGTGCCCAGGACAGCAGCAAAATGAGCCAGGACAGAGCAGGCCCGGGCTAGCAAGGAGGGTCAGCCTCAAGCAGCGTTGGAGCTGGCTGGAGCACAAAGGTGCTCTGAAAATGTAGAGCTGTGTGGCTAAATGGCAGGCAGGAGTCTGGCATCCGGCTGGGTGGGCTAACCAGGTGCAATTTATGCTCAGGGCCAGTGTCTACGCATGCTTTTAATTACAGCAAATAACCCCAGCGTAAGATAGTAGCACTATCTTTACTGTGGCATTAATTCGTTTACTGAAGCCTAATGCTGTTGCACATATAAATAGTGACACTTTATAGCTAATTAGTCTACTCTGCAGTTAAGCCCATGTGTAGACAAGGCCACTAACACTCTTCTTTTGGGCAAAAGTAATCAGTTTAGGCAGAGCCTTGTGCTAACATGATTATGATATTTCTGGTCCTGGAGTAAGCCCTTGTACCTCTGCACAACACTGCCTTATATTGTGTAGACTCCAATATGTGAGTTAGCATGGAAACAACCAGCTTGAGGTATCTCTGCATGGTATTACACTATGACTTGTAAACTCATTCTTTGTATCAAGATGGGTGAGGAAAAGGACTTACACTCTTTAATATTTAAGGAAGTGGGTACAGCCCATAATCAGGCTGGCATGGATCTTGTGAATGTGTCAATCCACAGAGAAAAAATGGGAAATATAAAGATAGTGTAAAAGAGCAATTCAAACATCTTCTGAGACAGATATTTTAATGTTAAAAAAATCTTTCAAGTAATTCAAGGTGCACTCCAATATTTGCTATCAAACAACTTATCCCTATGGACACCCACAACTCCCAGGAATACAAAAAAGTATAAAATAAAATAAAACTGTTTACAGCAAATACAAATGTCTGAAAATCTCTCCAAAAAACCTGTTTATACAAATAGTTATAAATTCTTTAATATTTTGTACAACTAGAAGGTGCACAGACTGGCATTCAAGCGGTCAATGTAGGCATAAGTCTGTATCAAAAGTTTAAAATTGTTTACTTGGGATAATGGAATAGTTTAAAATGCCATAAATTAAAATAAGTTAGTTCACATTTTTCCAGCACTTATGTACATCAGTCTCTAATGTGCTCTTGAAGCCTGCTTTAACAGTTCCACATCTTTCCATCGGTTCACATTCCCTCTGGTGCAGCCATATTCTTCCAGTTGTATAGGTATAAATTTTTCGATCTGATCTAGCCCCTGTCCAGCAGGACTGGTAAACAGCTTAGTCCAGGATGGCTTAAAGTTTCCTCTGAACCCCAAGAATGCTATGCTGCCTGCAACAGAACACATTCAGAGTTACAGAAACAGCAGGTGAAATGGGGAGAGAAAAGGGGAAAAAAGGTCAAATCTCACATTCCACTAGATTCTACATACAATTTACAAGCAAAGGAACAAGAAAACCTCACTGAGAAATCCCACAGATACATGCATATTGTAGTAGTCTCAACTCTACATTAATGCCCCACCAAAAAGTAGTGTGTGTTTTATGTTAAAAATTATATTTTTCCCTGACAACTTCCTTTATCATACAATAGTTTGACATCCTAACTGGAGAGACAACTTAAGTGAAAGGTAAAAATATTGACTTCTCATAAGCAATTTGAAAGCAAGCTATATGTAAAAATTAAACAAACCCTTATTTTGAAGATATGCTGGTTTGGCTGTCCCCAGGGACATTAAGGCTTCTGAAATATTAAGGTTTCTTATATCCCCTCTTGTGCTCAGTAAAATTATTGACCTGTACCAGAAAAAATGAAGATGGAAAAACCAAACATTTACCCAAACATTTAACACAATTGCAAATATGAATGGTCTATTTCCCATGGAAGCTGGCTTAATAAACCCATTATCCTTGTAGCATTATTGTATATCAAAGTAATTGGGGAGGGGGAAGGAATGAAAAATGACCTATTTAAAATATCATCCATGAAAAAAATTGACCTTTAATAGTTAACCTTTTCTTTTGTAATAAAAATATCACTGATAATGTTAAAGATTACAGAAAAAGTCCTTTTACTAAAAACTAGGATTTTGTGACAATGTAGTAATATTGTCAATAAAGACTGGTAACAATATGTGAAAGTAAAATGATTTATTTTGAAACATTAGAAATTAAAATTCTGAAACTGCAGCTTTGCGAAATTAGTTTTTCTTTTTTGACAAGCTCATGGTACAACAACGCCACCTGCTTAAAAACTAGTTTATTAATGCTTTGCTGCCAGTGTATCATAGAAGTAAACCCTTGATTTATTAATGTGTTGTTGCAGCTGGCAAAGCAAACAAAACTCTGGCTTGCATCTACTGATGTATCTCAAGAAAGACCCAGGAAGTCAACCTCCCACTTTACTCGGCCTTGGTGAGGCCGCAGCTGGAGTATTGCATCTAATTCTGGCTCCACAATTCAGAAAGGATGTGGAGAAGTTTGAGAGGGTCCAGAGGAGAGCTGTGCGTGTGATCAGAGGACAAGAGAGCAGGCCTTATGAGGAGAGCCTAAGAGCCATGGGACTGTTCAGCCTGGAAAAGCACAGGCTCAGGGGTGACTTGATGGCAGCCTATAAAAGTACATAAGGGGTGTGCATGAGGAACTGGGAGAACGTCTGTTCACCAGGGCTCCCCAAGGGAAGACAAAGTCCAATGGTCACAAACTCCTGGAAGCCTGTTTTAGGCTGGACATAAAAACGTATTTACTGTCCGAGTCCCCAGGACCTGAAATAGACTCTGGACACTTTCAGGAAACACTTGGATGCCTATCTTAGTTGCTGGGATCATTTGACCCTAGCTGACTTCTTGCCCCTCAGACAGGGGGCTGGACCCATGATCTTGCAAGGTCCCCTCCAGCCCTAATGTCTATGAAATATTAAAGCATTGTAACTAATGATTTCACACAACTTAGTGTCCTTATTAAACCAAACTTTGTGCTTCCCACCACCTCTTACCACTACATAATGTATAGTTAATAAAGGAACCTTTGAAAATATAGGTGGGACATATTTTGGGAACTTATTCAAAATGTTTACATTCAAATTGCTTAATTTTTTCAAAGATAGTATAAATATAATAAAGGACAATTCAGCTGCTTTTCCTTACACTTCAATCTAAAAAATGTTTTTCAACTATTAAATGAGCTATGGCTTAACTACCCAGAGGAAGCACTCCCAGGGGTTCTGCACTGCAATGTAAAGCTCACCATACATTTTGCAAATAAATGAACAAGTTTATTGTAATATACCTTTGTGGTATTCCAGTTTTTAGATACTCCTCCATGCGTTTAACATCTGTTTGAAGAAACAACTTTTTTTCTGTCACTGTGCCACCACAGGCATCAACTACTACAGTGAATACACCAACATCATTGAAAGGATACCTATTTCCATTGACCTGAAATAAGAGTGGGAAGGGCAGAAGACAATGACAGAGAATGAAAGCTACTGCCTTTTTTAAAACTTCCATTTGTAAACACATTAATATTCTGCTGTACACATTAACTGTCAGAGTCATCAATAGGATTTATACTTAGCCGAGTGCATCATCCATAGTATGGTTACATACTATGTGTCACCGCATTCCTTTTATCTTATTGTAGCATAATCACACTCAGTGTCACTTATCCATAGTACATTAGATAGTTCCTCTTGATCTCTTTTACCAAAGGCTCCTTATCAAAAAGGCAAAAAAAAATCCTATAAAAATATCCCTTAAAAGTTTGCAATAAATAATTTCCCATGTTGCAAACGAACAGCACACATGACCATATTTTTAATGTTCATAGCAGTGGCTCTCAATCTTGTCAGACTCAAGGAAGTACAACCTCTTAGCTTTCACTTGAACACCAGAGCAATTTCTTTGTTGCAAAGAATTCAGAAAGACCACAAGCAGTCATAATGGATTCCTATATAACATTTCTGGCTTTATCATGAAAATTGTGTGTAGATGTTTGCACACCTGGCAGTGCAAGTACTGCACAGCACTCTTACAAGTTCTCATGGCACCTTGGTTGAGACTCACTGGTTCAGAGTTCAGAAGGCTGTTTACTTTACCAACATGGTTGTATTACGTTGCAAAGCAGTAATATAAATTAAGATTTAAAACTTAAGGTACGGAGGGTACTTGCAAATCTTTAACTCCAGCGCCATGTACAGTTTTCTTTTGGCTCCAGAAAAATGTCAACAAACCACGTGCAGTGCAACAATCACATCACTACACTTATCACTGAGTCAAAGTAAACAAACAAAAAAAATCAAAGTTTTTCAGTTCTAACTGTAGTTTTAAAAAGGTCTTAAAAACAACTTGGAATGAATGGTATAATTTGGTAAATATTCTGTCAGTGGAGAAATTATTTTTTATTTTTACTCAGTCAATCAAAGTTTAACTAGCATATACATATGATCAAAGTGATTTCATCAGGAACCTGATGAAGATTTTAAATCCTTTCCTGTTCTTATGCTTTTCAGCCAAGGTTTAAAAGGTGCTAGATGTTAGGTTCCAAAAATCCCCATTTAAGTAGATAAGTAAATGTCCCGACTGTCAAAACTACAAGCTCCAATTTAATTCACTGGAAGTAGGTTCTGCTTCATACAAGACTGTAGAAATGTGTAGCTAGCCTGATTCAAGGTGCTATGGGATAAGTCACTTAAAAGAAGACCAAATGATAACTTACAGAGATAAATGATTGATGACCACTTCGTAACTCTGCTTTACTCAGTGACTGAATCTGTACAAAGAGGTAGTTTCTGTGAGGATCACTGGTGAATGGCATCTAAAATAAAAAGAAAAAAAAAGTAAGACACGAGTATTTAGATACTAATTCTTACTAATACATACTGGATTCTTTTATGTTCTACACTACACTCTTAAGGAAAGGGATTGTGTTTTGTTGTATATCCACATATTGCTTAGCAGGTAAGTGTTGTTGTAACAGAAAATAATGCATGACAGAAGAAAAATGAGAAGCTAATGGAACCAAAATTCTTACAGCATCTTACAGACTTGCTTTGGATTTCAACTTCTGAGCCACTTCTCCATATGAAGTAATATAAACTTTAGAGGGAAGAAGCAGGTTAGCAAGATACCAGGATTTTCAACAAAATTCCTATTGATATTTTGAATTTTTCCTTGAGTAAAGCCTAGGGCAGTCAAATTGACACCGCAACAAATATTTCTAGGATGGTGACACTGTTTGAGGAAAAAAAAACTATAATGTCAGAAAGTGGAAATTAAAAGATGAAAAAGTAAAAAGGTAGAGGTAGATTTCATAAGAAAGTACCATATAAAGAGGACTGTATATACTGCAAAAATCATTTTCTTATAGAAAACAAGAACAGAATCACTGCATTGGGGGTGGAAGGGGACAGTGAAAAAAGTAAAAACATGAGGGAGTGGTAATGGAAAAGTTATAAAAAAATTGTATTTGTTCAGTTCTGTCTCTACGCATGACCAAAAGTGGAAGTGCAGCAGGTTTTCTTGAACTGGAAAAAAGATCCCTTTTTTACCTTTCAATTAGTTACTACCCTTACCTCTAACCACAGTTGGAGTAAAAAGAAAGGACAGTAGGTGCAGTGAGAAGGAGGGGGAAGGAAGGATGTAAGCTCAACTCCAGATATTTCTTCTAGGACAACTAGAAGAACTAGTTTGAACTAGAACAAACTTTGAACAAGAAGGGGCCAAAAAGGACCAATTCCTCTATAATCTTCAGCAATGACCAACCTGCACATAAAGCAAATAAAAAAGCAGGAGATAACACGAACTAATAGCCCCAGGCAGCTTAAACCATTTTGCTTTAATTTACAGGCATCCCAGCCATCTCCTTTCCTCCGGCTATTTCCCATTTCACTGCTATCCCAAAAACAGGGATGGAGAGTTGCTTGAAAGCCTCTACATTAGTTGTGTTCCACCTAAAAGATGCGACTTCTGGACTAGGAGATATCATTTTAAGGCTAGTTTCCACAGGTGACAATCCAAAGAAGCTGTTGCTTTTTGGCTGTGGCCAGATACCTTTTCCCTGCTCCTTTTCTAAATATGTTAATTCCAGTGCGGCTCCAAAGCAATGTTGAGGTTTCAACAGTTCACAAGAAAACTTTTTTTCTTATTGGTCTAAAGGACAAGCTTCCCCCACCCATTCCTTGCCCCAGTGATTCTTTGGATTTTCCACTGAAATATACCTCCTTTTTCCCCCCCTTTTAAAATCAGTTATTGCAAGAGAAAAGGTAAAATCCAGTGGCTTAACATACAATACAATTTGATCAGACCAGCAATTTCACTGCTAATTTGCAGTGCAATGCTAAAATTTAACACCAGTAGATCCCAGCATCAAAAAAAAAGCTGCCACTAAAAAAAAAAATAAGGCAGCATGGTACAAGTGGCAACAGCCAGCAGAAATGGCGCCTGGTGGACCAGTGCCACACACTGATCCAGCTGGTCAGAGCCTGGCCGGCAGCCAGTGTTGCTGCTGCCCTGGGAGGCCCCCAGAACTCCAGGTAAGGCTGCTGGGGCCAGTCCCCCCCACACTCTACCCAGATCACTTTGCCATGCACCAGAGCGCACATGCAGGTGCATACTCCTGGGACTAAAAGCAGCAGAACAAATACGTGCCGCTGCTATTTGTCCCATGGGAAACACACACCTCTACACATGCACACTTGTCTGGACATGCCTTAAGTGTCTGATATTTTTACTAGTTTAAAAAATAACTTTTTCCTGGAAGAGATCCTTGTCTTTTTGGGAACTCTATGTGGGACTGACAGGAATTCTGGGTCAACAACAGCAGCAAGATGCAGCTGAACAAAGTCTATCAGCAGAGCTGTAGAGAAAAGGTCCCTGGGAAGAGGTACACTGCTCCATGCCCAGCCGCTGGGGGTACACTGACCCCAAAAGGTTGAAAACCCCTGCTCTAATGCGTCGGAGGACACGGAAAATAGTGCCTCATCTTCTTGGGATCCTTTTATGAACTGGAATACTTCCTCATTTCATTGCTTTCCCCCAGAAACAGGATACAAAGGACATCTCAAAGTATGACTCTTACTTGCAACAATTCATGGCAACTCTAAGGACAATGAATGAGTTTGATGCTGACACAGGTCACGAAGCCAGACATTTAGCCTGACAGGGGCTGGTCAAGGGCACTGCCAAGGCTTAGGCAGGAAGGTATACCTCAGGGCTCTTTACAAGAAACCTGAAAGCTCATGAAGCCATGCCAGGATATTCCAGCTAAAGTCCCTAAAGAAGCCAAGCACACCTGAAGTGGTGACTCCCTGCCCTTTCTCCCTTGGGAAGCGAAGGTTCAGTGAACTGTGCAGTGAGACATTACGTGAGCCTCCCACAGGCATACTGCACTGAATGCATGTACCAGTCTCTAAAACAGTGGCTGAGCAGGACACACACCTTTTGAACTCTCTACGGGACCCAGCAGACACTCAGGAATAACTTGAAGCAAGCAGCCCCAACTAATCTACAAGAAGAGAAACTAACTAGCTTGCTGACACAAGAGCTGATTCTGTTTAGCACAAGAGTGAGAGGAAGAAAGGGGAGAAACAGCATGCTCCTCTATACAGCGGGAACAGATCATGTCAACTCAGTTCAAGTGTGCTCCTGGACACAGCAGCAGACATTGCATTGTTATGTGGTTCTTTAGCTCAACTCTAGAAGTGCCTTAAACCAACAGGGAATGCACAGAGGTTGTTAAAGACCACCCTTAATTCACAGGTCAGAAACAAGACAGAGGGTCCATTTGATTACATGTGAAGAGACTTTCTTATCAAAATGCATATTATATGGTACATGACAGCAAACTTTCCAGTTTGCCTGCTTCTCTCTTTCACGAGTACCAGTTTTCATTTAAATGCCTTATATTTAAGCAATCTTATCTACCTGTTCATAAACCATGTTTATATATTTGTATTTTTTTTTTTTACCTGATTTGTGCCACAGTTTTTGCATGGTGTAGTAATTTTGCCTGGCATTGGCTTTATAACAGCTGGTGCTTCATAGTACTTTGGATAAGCTTTTGTCATGCAGTTGCTGATCTCTTTTGACCAAAGTGTGGCTTGAATCTTGATTCTTTCACATCCCTGAGATGAACAATAACTATGACCCTCCCGGTTATATTTGGCTTGAAGATATAAGAACAGTAATCTAGACAAGGAAAAAAAAATACATGTGACTGGATAGATAGTTGATGGGATAGATATTTACATTAAAAACTCTCTCTAAGACTTTTAATAAAGTGAACATAAAAAAAAATCTCAGTTTTTCAGAAGTCAGGAAACAGAAGTATTTATTTCTATGTCTACAGAGCTACAAAATGTTCCCTCACAATCATTACTGCAGTAGGGAAACCTTTAATGATATACAGTAAAACTACTTACAATCACAATGATTGCTCAATTGTTATTTTCTGCACACCTCAGAAGAAACCAAGTCATTGAAAAGAGTAATTTTTATACCGTACATCTTAAACAAAGGTTCAAAAGTAGATTGATCATTTGGAAAATAACATATCAGCCAAATCGGCCATCAATAGACAAAATGGCTGCACAAGAAGCAAGCAAATTTTAGAAAACAGATTTTTTTCCTTTACTACTGTGATTATTGTGCAAAAAGCATAATAACCGCATCCTACTTGGGAGAAACATAACACTGGTAATGACTACTATCACTTCAATAGATGCTTATCATGTCTGGATAATGAAAAAAACCCTAAATATCCAAAGGAAAAAAACTGTGCTCATCTGTTTATCTAATCTACTACACTCACTAATCAGATTTTAAAAAAATCCTAAACCTCAACCCTAATAATTTGAGTGGAATCAAAATGAGATGATGCAAACAAACAAAACCATGCTAAAGGAGGTCTTGTTACAGCTCAGGTATAACATTTTAAAAGTGGCTAAGTGATTTAGGAGGCTAATGACCATTTTTTAAGATTTATTCAACCTTAAATCCAAAAGCCACTTTTGAAAATAGGACCTAGGAGTTCCTGGATAATTTTGCTCCCTTCCCCATAGTCATAAACACAGGTTTGAGTTCCTCCTGGACAAAACAAGAATTTTCTTGAACTCTAATATTTATATTTAATAGACAAGTTATGAGCTGAAAAGTACCAACAGTGTGGTATTTGAGATACCACAGTTTCCCCCTATACTTGGAATAGGAAATAACTGTGGTAACTACAGTATCCATTGGGAAATGCTGACTTGAAGATGACTGCAGTTGTAATTACAAGTAACTTAAGTACTCTTCCAAACATTCATTGGTGGCCTACAATTTCTATCCCACAGGAACCTTCCTCATAAGCAGATGTCTCAACACTACCAGACTAGCAACTGTACAATTAAACAATGACAGAAATGTCCTGATTTTTTTATTCATCTATTTTAAAAATTACCCTGTGCTGTTGTCAAAATAAAACTTTTTCTCTGATCGATGCTTCTTCAGTTCTGATATGGAAGATACAGCAGCATATTCTCCAATACTATAGAATCCAGATGCCCTTTGGAAGACATCAAATGTGACTTGAAAGGTTGTACCTGATGGATAACAAAGACCAACCTGGATCCATTCATTCCTGAAAACATAGGGAAACAAAATTGTTACAGCTCGTTCATTTGAATAAACTTTATGACGTTATGGTTCAGACTGTAAATAGGTTTAGAGATGCCATAGTTACCTTTTAACAGATAATACAACAGGAAAAAATAAAAATGTACCAAATCTAACCATCAAATAGATGGCTTGCAACACTGTGTGAAAAATGACAACACCCACTATAACCCTCTGGTAAAAGTTGTCACTTTTTCACTTTGAGATATTTTATTCTATTTGGATGCCTCTTAAATGCCACCACATCAAACTGTTTAAGATTCTACTCTGCACAGCTTCATACCGTAATAAAACAACAATGAATGTCTTTAACACTTTTCTCCTGCAGAACACTTCATGTGTGACTTCATACAACTTTGCTTTGGTCTGCAGTTTATGCTATTGCTGTTAATGCATCTTATTTCATATAAAAGTCAAGTTGGTTCCTTATGCATGCATACTAATTCTGCAAAAGATGAGGTCAAAGCCGATATGAATCGAGGGTGACATACTTGTTAAAGTTAATGATGTAAAGAAAAGTGGTTTGTGGAGCCTGTCCGTTCCAATGTATTGTATAGCCCTTCTGAAGCATCACTACTGGCTGGTACTGTTGAAAGGCAGCTCGCTGGTTAATACCTCGAAGTGCCATGGGGCTGCTTGGGTATTCATCACGTACAATGGTCATAGTAAGATTCTGTGGGTTCCATGTCTGGATGTACACCTTAAAATATTATCCAGAAGGAGGAAAGGCTCAAATATTATCAGAGACAAAAACATATACTGATGGGGGGAGGGGGAAGAGGAGTTCATACAGAACATGAGCAAAACTACTACCAACCACAAGATAGAACTGAGTTAGGCACTGTGTGCAGATGACAGACATGACATGGTCTGGGAAAACTTATAATTTTAGTAGACACCACAGAAAGGAAGATGCATTTTTCCTTTTTTTTTTTTTTTTTAAACAGACATGAGAGCGAGCATGATCAAATGACCTATGTAAGATCACACACAATTTGTGGCAGAATTGGGAAATAATCCCAGCAGATCAGGGGGTGGCAACCTACTGCCATTTGAACCAGCCTGTAGACGTGGGGTTCGGTGGCATTTGGCAGTGGTTACTGTGCTAGCATGGAAAAAGAACAAGCTATAGGCACGCTCTCCATCACCCTGCTAGGCAGAAGCGGCAGCAGCAGTTGGATCCTTATCCTGCCTGCCTACCTGCCTTGTGCTTACCCAAACTGGGCAACTCTGCTCCTAAAAAAGGTTACTGAACACTGCAGTAGATGAACTGGTGTTCAGGAAGCTCTTTCACATCTTAATGATAGGCTGACAAAACCCAGAATCCCATAATATAAGAACATTCCCAGATTTATTTGCTATCAATAAATAAATTCACTACACAAAGATTTTCTTTTGCTTGAAAACTTTTTATAACCTAAATCCCTATTGCCCCAGTATCTAAATAGAGAGGTTGAATGTAAAATTAAGACGACCAGTGTAAATTAACTTTAAAAAATCCATAGAAATCAATTCTACAGTTTAACAGGCTTTTTCATTAAGTCTTTTGACAACAAATTAAACATGGAATACACAAAAATACACAATAGTTCCAACCTGTGCATACGTCCCACTGCAGATCACTCCATTCCATTTTGTAACATTGATGCACTTTGGATGTCTGATCAAGTAATTATCCATTCTGCCAACATAAGTGTCTTTATATTCAGTCACAGAACCATCTAAATCATGGAATATTGAGTTCTTGTCACCATCCAACTCACCATCTTCAAACCAAGGACCAGGTTTTCCAAAGAAGACTTTCAAAGAAACCTGACAATAAAGGGGAAGTGAAACATTTCAATTAAGTTTCCTAAAACCAAATTTAAGTCACTGTGCTATATTTACAACCAAGTGAAACCAATAAATATTTCCACACTGAAACCAAGTTGCAAGTTAGGGAAATTATGAGCAGAACAAAAACTTTCTAACAAATACAATGTAATCTTGCAAAAACAGTTTGTAGTGGACATGGTTTTTTTTCAGCAAATAAATTAGTAAAAAGTTTGCAAGTATAACTAGGGTTGAACTACTTTCTGAATTTGCATTACTACTTTTATTACTGGAAATTCATGACTTCAAGTGACCCAGGGGGATAAAGGAATTATACTGAATATTAAAATACACATTTGCAGTGACTTGGTTTTGAGTTCAAAGAGCATCAAATCCAAACTAAAACCCTATCTACTCACAGCAATTCCTGCCTAAGCTATAGCCACATCAAAGGCTTCACTCATAAGACTGATGGCCTAAGCTGAAAATAAGAGTTGCAGTTCCCAGCCTCAACAGAGGCTAGTGATTTTAGGAAGTTCAGACACCTTAGGCCTCATGTTTCCTTCAAAGAACTTCTGGATGGAAAAGACTTAAATCATCCTGTCAATTTACCTATCGGTACAGTGCATTTACTGAGATTTCATCAAGTTCAGTGTTACAGCACACTATGTATAGAGTTTCTGTGTTTGTAGAAATGGTTGTACAAGCTAAGATGTTATTCACTGAAGACTGATATAGTGCTCCATTCCTAAAACTTTTTAGCTGAGATCTTTTCTTCTTTGAAACATGGGATTGTAACTTTAAACGGAGAGGGCAGCAAGCCAGGAGCACAGGCAGGCCATTAGGCAAAGGGGAAACCTCTGTGTGTGGCTGGGGATCCACATGATCAAACGGGATGGAGTTTATAGGCATATAATGTAGGCCACGAGGAAAGACAGGCAGTCTGGCATACTGCAGGGAGTGGAGATCTAGGGAGAGAGGGGTGAAAGAGCCAGCCTGGCAAACACCAATAAGAGCTGGGAAGTGAGAGCCCCAAGGGAAATTGGTAGAGCTTGAAGGGTGGCATAAACCCCGAGTGGGGAAGAGTTTTTGTTGAAAGCACTGTGTTTAAGTTGATCCCAGAGGACTGGATTGTGGCTTTGGTGGTAGTATGGAAGACAACAGGGCATCTCATATAGAGCTCTGTAGAGGTAAGGGGGCTCAGCAACATGAGAACAACCTTGCTCGGGTCAGGGACCAACGTGGATGAAGAGTCCAAGAGGGGCAGGACCAGAACTGGGGCACAGATGCCAAGATCTGGGGCAGTGGCGCTATGGGAAGGATGCAGCCAGAGAGAAGGGGCAAAAGCTGGGAGGGCTGAAGCCTTAACAAACGTTTGAGGCCTAAGGGTGCTAAGTGTTGCGGTAGGGTCAGGCGGCCCTCCAAAGTGTTCAGTTAACAACTGTGAGGCATAGGCATGGCTACAGGGAAGGATGGAAGCCACGAATACAGCTCATAAGGCACTTGGTGACCCATGGCACTGACAGGGCCAAATGGACGACAGTCTAGAGCCCTATGGGGCAAAACAGACTGGCTGGTCAAGGACTTGGAGCTCACTTTGGAACCCTAGGGCAGCCTCCCTATACTCCATAAGAAACATCAAAGTGTGGCAGGTGATATTCAAGAAGGATGGTACCCTTAGGAGCCAGAGCAGGGCAGGAGTCACTGGTTCACCAGGAGGCATCATGGCCATCTTTGTGGCCAGGACCTTGCTACAGCGACAAACATGAAACAAGTCCTGCCCTCAATAGATACAAACACTTCTTATTTGTATGAATACGCTTAGTTTTCATACATATTCTGCAAAGCATCGTTTAAACAATCCTCCATTGGCATGTATTTAAAAAAAATAAATACAGCTTTGCATTTAGAATCAATCTTAAAAGAATGCGTCTTCAACATGCCTGCACAGCTATTCACCTTGAGCTTCATGCCTCCCTATGCTCCAGAGCACAGTAACTGGGCAACAAGTGAATGTGAGCTTTTTTTGAACTTTCTACTGTTTTCTGCAGAAAAGCATGTCTATTCTTTATCAAAAATAAGGTACCTAAGTAACTCTTGCAATGAAACAAAAAAGGGAAGTAAGTTTCCAGGGTAGCAATATATAAGCATACCTTAATATAATTATCTATGAAAATAGGCTACTCAATGCATGGATTTCAAAATTGGGGTTTTTTTGTGACACTTGGCCAAAGCCTGTGTGTTGGAAACTTCAGTAAATGGGCACTTTTAAAAAAAGAATTTCCCATACTTTCATGTAGGTTCAAGGACAACACTTAAAACAATTTCAGTACTCCAATATCTGGCTGAAATAAGGAAGTTTAAAAATGTGGCAACAAAACAAAGGCTAGGTTTCAAACTTCAGAAGTACAGTTCAGCTTCACTTCATGCAAAGGCTGTTCTTAGCTAATACTTAGTCTGAATCCCTACTTCTCAATGTTCTTGTGGGATAGACCCCCAGAACTGGACTGCAAAATATGCATCACCTATCCACCTAAGTGTTTGGGAACTGGCTAAAGCAGCCCAAGAGGTCTTTAGAGAAGCAGATTTCCCTTTTCCAGATGCCACTTCAAGTACCCCAGTGACTTCAGCTGGAGGGAACAGGACCCCATGGAAAAAGCAACATAGGTGGAGTCAAAATAGGAGCAGACATGTTGTGGTCCAGGATGGAGGAAATGAAAGGACATTGCTTCATATCTGTTCCAATGAAAGATACTCTGCATGGGACACAGGAAGCACAACATACATTCTTCACTATTCCAAATGCTCCTACTTTCCTCTTTTTATCCCCACTCACTGAAAGGAAATTTTGCAATAGGCTTACATTTGAACCAAAGTTCACAAGAGAAATGTTGTTTTTAGGTGTCATCTGCCAGGAGTTCTTCATCAGGAACCCAATTGCACTGGTGAATCTATCAGGGGTTGGTACAAAGTTTGTGAATGTGCATTTGGTAAGATGAACAGGTCCATCATAAATCTGAAAACCTCTGATTGGAAATGTCCTATTAAAAAAAATAAAACATTTAAGACACACAAGTACTCTACTCATACCATTCAGGATCCCTGAGATATAATATTTTCTTTTGTTTTTCAGCTTTAAGAATGCAGAGCTAAAAACAGATTCCAGAGTAGGATGTTATAAGTAAGGGAAATCTTGACTGTATTCAAATCTACACGGTACTAAGGGTGAGGCTCCTTTCTATTATTAGTGGGTATTACTACTGCCTGCAGCCTCACTTAACTCCCATCTCCTTCCTCTTACTTTGTAGAGTGCAGGAAAAGAGCTACTCCATAAGTGCCCACCGCACATGCTCAGATTGGCAGAGAACTCTAAACCAAATCTCTCCTACCCTTGTGAAACCAGGGTGGGATCTGGCAGTGGGTAATAAGTCTTAAGCAGACCACTGAAAGAAGTGAAGAAGGTTCCTATATAAAAGGAAAATTGAGTTGGACTGGTTGCCATTATTAATTCCCACCTGGCATCCCAGTTCCCATAGCCATAGACTCTTCCTTCCTCTCTACCACACCCTATTGTTTTACAACCCATAGGGTCATAGGACATCAGCAATTGTTACTCATAGCAATTCAAGGTACTAGACTGGAAACAGACTTACAAAGGCACAATTCAGCATGCCAGACAGTTTCTAGAGGGTACAGAAATCAACTGCTGAACTGATTAAAATTCCTTTTTGTTACTAGATCAAACACACATTTTAACACTAATGTATCATTACTATTTCAGTTCCTGGTGCAGCCAAAGTGTTAAATTGTTGTTGCTTATCAACTAACAAAGATTTATCAGGAAAAGGATGACCTAAGCCACCCCTTGTATTAAAGAGGTGTATCAACTACCGTTTGAGATCTTTCACATCCGACAATACATAAAGAAAAGAATAGAAGAAGTAGCTGTTTACACATAGATAAGTTTATCTGCTCAAGAAATAAAGAAGACACCCAAAATAAAGAGACACCCATTATTAGGAACTAGGTCTCTTGTTTCTCTCTCTCTGCAGTTTGCAGGCAGATGACAGCATTAGAAATGAGTTTCTATATAAATCACACAGAGAAACATTTTTGCACTGTGCAAGGTGACAATAATTTAGTAGAGTAGTCCTAATGTAAATAATGGCTACCTTTCTTTTAAATGTGCAAAGGAATGTAATGTCTTGAGAATGGGTTAATGCCATAGCCCAGAAATGGAGAACTGCTTATTCTCAGAAGGAGACGGAATAAACAGAGGACTACAGGATGCAAGTAAATGCCAACAGTGTTAATTTTTCTGAGGTAAGTACTTGGTCATCAAGAATAAGGCTGAGAAGTTCAAACTAATAACAAATAGGCCTGAATGTAGTAATCTAACTATAATAATTTCTGGTCAATGCTTTTCTTGGCCAGATTCAAATGCTGGAATGGACTGAAAGATAGTATATCCTGCTATTAAGCCCCCAAGACAATTTGTTTCCCCTCTGGCATGTTCAACATTAACATTGGATCACACAGAAAGTGGATACTTTAATTTTCAAATTTTTGCTGCCATTACATTAGGCAGAAAGGGTACATTTTTGAAAAAGCATCTCTGTTTTGCCTGCTGAAACACTGACCGATTTCTAGGCAGGGTGCGATTTTTATTGTCTGTTCCTCCAGTTCCCCAGTATTTGTTTTGGCCACCCTGGATGCCATAGTTCTTGCTCTCGCCAATAAAAAGAGATTCTGATACTTCCTGGCTGGAACCTTCGTCACTTGGAAAACTTCCATCACTATAAAAAGCAAATCAAAGTTTACCTCTACTGCAGCAGAAAGTTGTAAACATGTTACATTCAAGAAGATGCTACCATCTCTAATACTTTTTTTTTACTGTTAACTGAATCAAAACAAGTTAAGTTTTTTTTTTAAGCACATTATAATAAATGAAGCAGTATAATTAATTCTTGATTTAAAAAAATAAAATCCTAGCCTTTAAACATGACAGCTAAGTGATGTAATGTAGACACCTGCGTGTGCGTGTATGTACACACACACACACACACACGTGCAGATAAGTATTGGATGTTCTCATTTCAGTACTTCAGTCGTCCTTCAGGAACATATATGTTCAATACATAAACTTTTAAGGGTTAACATAACATTAAAAATCGGTCTGGTGAACCACTGATGCCACTTAACACTCCACCATTATGGTTTGATGCATCAAAGGGATTAAGCTGCAGTCCCCAGGTTCTTGCTAAGTTACTGCTCTACCCATTGCCCTGGCTGAAACAGATGGAGTCTCCAGGCTCCCTCTCCCTCCTTCAGCTTCTACTTCCTGTTCAACCCAAGGGGGTACGGCAGTGCAGCTTGTCTTGTCTTGCCTTGTCTTGGAGAGCTGAGGGTGAGGCGGGCGCCACATGAGCATGTGGTACAGCTGTGGGAGGGGGCATCCATGTGGGTGGTGATGCAGCTGTCTTGGGGGGGAGGGGAGCCTCCATGTGGCTGGAGGGGCAGTGGCTTGCCCTGATAAGACCCTTCTGGTACAGCTCAGGGCTGTGTGGCCCTGGCCTTTTGGGAATTGGACATCCCTGTACCAAAGTATTAATTTTTGACCAAGGACCAAAAGCAAACATATAGTCCACTTCCAATTCTCTTGCCTTTAAAAAACAATGGAAATATAAAAATGCCATGATATCACAGCCTTAGAATCACACCGACTTCCCAAGATTTGACACATATTTTCAAAATTTCTAGATAAGCAAGATTATATTAGGCTTTTTCCATGTTTTGTCCTTAAAAGAGGTACTCACCTGGCAAATGTTAAACCTATTCCATTGTCAGAAAACCTACAAAAGAAAGTAATTTTAGCAAAGAAAACTTCAAACCATTTATAAGAAAATTATATTATTTTCCCAAAAGGATAAAACAGATTGACTTCAAAATGAACAGATATTGTAGAAACAGAAAGAAAAACTCAGATAATTTAATTGATAGCTATTGTACTTACAGATGCTAGGTGTCTTAAAAGCTGTAAAATCATTTTTACTTATTTTTAAAGTGGCAATATGATAGTTCCAGAGAAGCCTCAAATATCTTACACTAACTATTATGTAAGTATTCTCCATGATTTCAATTAACTTTGAGTTAATTGTTTTCATTATGCCACTTTAAACCATTATGTGTCTTTCTATGCAATCCTGAGAGCTTCATTTGATTCTACTTAGTGGAATGAGACAGTTAAAGTCCCCATAGTTTAGCACTGATATTCTCTCATGACCCCATCTTAATACATTTTTATAGATTTCACAATGCATATTTTTACTTAATTCTCCAGGCTTTTACACCCTTGTCCAGGAGAATGTCTTACAGGAGGCAGAATTATCTTTTGGACACCTACCCAGAGTTCTGAATGAGGATATCTCCTCCTCTGACCCAAGCCCCATGATCATTGTTTTTAAAAGAGATTAGTCTGTCAATCAGAGCAGCAACTCGCGGCTTCTCAGGGTCTGCATTTTGATGAGGTCGAAACCTTGGGAAGAGGAAAAACAAGGCTTGAAATGAAAATATCTGAATTGGCTCCGTGTATGGGAACACACATACAGTGCTGTAGTATATATCAAGACATAAACACTTGTACTCTTCAGAGGCAAAAACAGCATTCTGCTGTGTCCAACACAAAAGGAGAGCAGAGTCAAGTCAAAAGATGATGGAAACCAGAATTGAAACTTCACCAAGTGCATCTACAATTCTTCATTCTCATACCACAGCTTCTCTAGGAATCTGATCACCATCTTCTTGGGAAGCACAAAGACAGGGGAGCACAGACATCTGCCATAAGGGAATAGCACACAAATATTTGATAATTTTACATCCCTCACACACCTAATTTTACACCCCTCATTATTCTTCACACACCTTCCTTCATGTCTTTTATTACCTCCTTTAATCCTTGCAGCATTAATTCAGGGTTTGGAGGGAGAGAAAAGATGACAGTTGTCCTTGGTAGGGTATGCAAGGCCATTTTTGCTACTGCAAACAGACAGCTAGAGGACTGGCTAATGACTGCTCCATCTTGGATCTCTCAAGCGAGATTGGTTTTGCAAAGTATTCTTTATCTGAGCAGAACTGAAGTGTTTCTCCTCGACTCAAATCTGTGCTCCACAGTTTGCAACCGAGCCAGTCTCTTGTGGTATGGTGGCTGCAAACTTTTTTGGTCCATGGGAGCAATATAGATAAACTCTTACCCAGAAGATAAGAGAAACAAGGAAGACGGAAGAAACTGCTGGTCAGACTGGTGGAAGCAGCCAGATGATTTCATGAAAGCTTAAGGTACATTTCAAGAGCTATGGACAGTTTGCCAGTCAGATACACAAACTATGGCTAATAAGCATCAGATCAGACAACAGAACTGTATGAAGATTACCTAAAAAGCTTTGTAAACGTTTTCCTCCCACCCTACCCGGGAAAATTATTATAGTATATTACAAAATTATTTTAAGTTAGAAAGACTTCCCACTGAGTGATGCAATAAAAATCTCAAGTTCTTGTTCCACTAACAGTATTTAAAATTATCAAATATTTATGATATGTTAAGTTCTTTCAGCAAGAGTTTGCACAGTCCTACACAAGTTATAAACTGTGTAATAAAGGTCTGGTCTTGTTGATCAAAGAAATGTAATGGATTCCACAAGCAACAATAAAAATATTTTAAATTAATAAATAAATCAGACAAGTAATTATTATTTCATGTTTCTGTCTGTATGATGATAGATGTATGATTTTAAATAGCATTTCCTCAAAGCTCTATAAGACACTTTTACTTGATAGCTGATGATTATTAGGTTTTTTGTACCAACATGCGATAGTTCCTAGCATACTGTATATTAAACAGGAAGAACACGATCTATCTGTATGCTTTTCCTCAGCTGCATCTATGTCACCTGAAGCATTGTGATCCTTATCTAATCTTCAATAACTATCCCCTTGCTATTACTGATCCTGAAACCACTACACACATATCTTACTAGAAAGTGGTTCCCAGCCCTTTGTTCTTTTTCCTTCAGCAACACGTGCTCATCTTATAAATGTCAATTCCCACCCCCTCCAGCCTCCTTGGACATAACATCTTTCTGACATCATCCTTCTCCTAGTACCCTTCCAAGTTCTCTTGCTCCCACAGCATGCATCCTGACTCCTGTCTCCAGCTACTGATAATATTTAAGATCCTTCAAACTCTTTTAAGGAAGTTATTCTAAAGAAATTATGTTTTAAATCCACTAGGTCTTTGTCTTACTACCAAATCTTTCTTACACAGTTAAAAAAAAAAAATCTCAGAGAGGTTCTGGTGTGGCCATGCTCTATTTCAGTCACTTGGGCTGTTTCTACAAGTGCTCTGGGAGTGAGGGAGGCAGCCACGGGATGGAGGTGGGTGCTTTAATTAGAGCAGCTCTGAGAGCCGCTCTAATTAAAGCACCATGTGTATTAGTGTCCCCATGGTGAAAAATGGTGGCAGGGGTGCTTTAACTAACCATTTTTTATTGCAGGGACATTAATACACATGACACTAGAGTCTGCTGGAGCACAGTAATTACCACACTCCAACAGACTCAACTGAGTCTGCTGCAACATATAATTATAGTGTGTTGGAGCAGCCTTGCTGCACGTGTATAGGTGCCCTTTCTTTCCATACTTTTGTCTTCCTCTGAGCAAATTGCACGTTCCTATAAAGCATATTCTTCAAAATTTTGCCCTCTCTATCCACACCCATATCTAACATTTAACTATTTCCATCCTAAACAAAGGTCAATTAAATGTATACATACAGTAATATGAAAAATCGCCACTGTGAGAATAAGACAATTAAGACTTACGAGTCTTTATTTCACAAAAAGGAACCATGAAAGAGAAAATAGTTGGGAACCAACAACTTCTGGGACGCAGCATGTTGCAATGGATACATGATCAACAGTAGTAAGAAGATAGTTGTCAAAGAGAGGCAATACTGGTGGTTGTAAGCACTAAAATTTTCTTCTACCAGCTGATATCCAACTGACTTTGTTTTTATGGGGCAACTATCCTGCCCTTCAAAATAAGTGATTGTGCATTATCATCCTAGTTCCATCCACTTTTCTCTTTCAAGTGGCAACCTACTTCAGCAAATACCAACACCTCCTTCCCAAAAACACACCTCAGAATTTTCCTTGTCCTTAAGTTATGCTGCTAAAGTGTGCGTGGGTGTGCACGCACTCATGCACACACACCCTATCAGAAGACTAAGACAAGAGTTTCAAAGGCTCAAAAGGCAACTCAAAGGGTCAGCTTTCATGAAGCTGTGATTCCAGTTGAGCATTTCCTAGCACTATGTGCCTTTTAAAGTCTTTCCTGCTAGGTACAGAGCACTGACCGATGAACTGGAAAGTCTAGCAAATCAAAAGATACTTTCAAAATGTAACTGAACTAAAAAAATATTGTTGCAGTGATGGTAAATTATGATGAAAAAGTTATTGCTTCTGGGTGAGAAAGCCAGTACAAGACAAATGTACAGAAAGGGAAGGATTGTGAGCATGCTGGGGGATGGGAGTGCAATTCAGAAGGATCCTGACAGACTGGAGAGCTGGGCTGACGCTAACAGGATTAAGTTCAATGCTGACAAATGCAAGGTGCTACACTTCAGGAAGAGTAATCAAAAATACAGATACAAAGTGGGTAATACCTGGTTGGATGGCCGCACTATTATGAAGGATCTTGGAGTCTTGATAGATTACAGACTCAATGAGTCTGCACCATGATGCAGCGGCACATAAAAGGCAAATATGATTTTGGGATGCATCAACAGAAACATTAGATCCAAGACAAAGGAGGTAATAGTACCTCTCTACTTGGCACTGGTTAGACTTCATCTGGAGAAGCGTGTGCAGTTCCAGGCTCCATATTGTAAGAAGGACATAAAGAAATTGGAGAGAGTCTAGAGGTGGGTAACAAGAATGATAAAGGGCAAAGGGAGCTAGGCATGTTCAGCTGGCAGAAAAGGTGCTTAAGACAGGACATGGTAGCTGTCTTCAAAGGCCTGCCATAAAGAAGAGAGAGAGAACACTTTCCCTCTTGCTGCAGAGAGGACATGGAACAATGGCATGAAGTTGCAGCAAAGGAGATTTATATTGGGTATCAGGAAAAACTTCTTCACTGTTAGAACAGTGAGGTACTGGAACAGACTGCCTAGGAAAGCTGTGGACTCCTTATCACTGGAGGTGTTCAAGAAGAGGCTGGATAGCCACTGGTTGGGAATGATATAGGTATAGCTATGCCTACATTTTACTGTGGGTATCTCCCATGTTTCTGAGCTTTGCTGGTTCCTACAGGGGCTCAGGAGGGAATTCCTCCTGCCCTGCCTGGTGCTACATGTGTCAGGGTTTTCTTAAGCCTTCCTCAAAGGCATTATGTGTTGGCTGCAGCCAACGCTGGGGATTTTGAATAGAGAGTAACCAGTGCTCCTACTGAGACTTAGAGCTAGCTGGCTTGAGGGTCTTGGTCCTCCACTCAGGGTCAGATTGATCACCCTATTTGGTATCAGGAAGGAATTTCACCCATGGGCAGATTGCTATATACTGTGGAAGATTTTGCCTTCCTCTGTCATGTGGATGTGGTCCTCTTCCTGGGAGCTCCTGAGTCTGTAATGTTAACCTTTTTTCCTGCAGCAGGGCAATGTTTGCTGTGGTGGCCCCACTTTACCTATGACAGGTTAGGGTTTTATGTCTTGTATTGTGTCAGAATTGACTATGTACTTCTGCTAAGAGATTAGACAATGGATTTGTATAGGATGGTTTGGATAAGGATGACCCTGTCTCAGGTATGGCGTTGGACTAGATGATCTCTGGGGGTCCCGACTGGCTCTATTTCTCTATAAGTCTATGAAGGACAGAAAACTGCTGGAACACACAGCATGCTCCACTGATCCCAGAACACATGCATGGATAAGTATGAAGAACCATTATGTTCTATATTCTACAGGTTGCAATCACTATAAATAAAAGAAAATTACAATTAGGCCCTTTTCTTAATATTATTAAGCTCTGAACATTCTCAGAATTTAGAGATTTTAGCATACATTTGGGAAAGGATTTTTTCTACCTTGCATTGTTATCCAAACAAAGGTATTCCCTTGGATCCTCAGCACTGGCATTGGTGATTTTGACACCTTTATCAATCATTAATCCACCCTGAAATGAGCAAAAAGAGAAAAGTGATTACGGTATAGAGCCCCAATCCCTTCAACTAATTACCTGCCAAAATAAACCTGAAATGAAATTCTAAAATTGTTATGAGTTAATATATGTTTTTAAGGCAGAAGAGTAACAGCCTGAGAAAAATCAGTTTTAATAGTCTTTGTGGCTTTCCTAGGCCTAAAAAATTCATGAAAATAATATAGTTTAGAAATCATTTCAGTCGAATGTCCTGACAAACATTTATTGAGATTTTGGATGCATTTCCTTTATTAAAAAAAATGCTGCTAACTGAAAATATTCTCGTGTGTACCAATGATGGAGAGAATGATGGATGCTACTGTCATTTTTTTAATGCTCAAGTCTCAATTAACTTTGGTAGTAAAGGTGACCATTGGCTAAATGTGCAACAAGCTTAACAACTGGAAAATCTAATAAGGCATTATGAAATGTATATCTTCCTAACAAATTAATATACGGGAGCTGAAAATGTCATTGCCACAATCCAATGTGAATATTATTACATGGATACTTTTGGTGACTCTTACCATTAAAGTTATTAATATTAATTTTTTGCTATACTCTATTTTCCAATTTAATTCATTCTTTAATTATATACAAAAAAGCTCAAACACTTGGATATCCTTTCAACCAAGTTTAAAATCTTTAAAAAGGAACTATTTCCTTGGGCTCAAGCATCTCTATTACAACTTAACTTAGATTCTGAATTTGATACAAATTATTCCATAAATGGCCCTTAATCCCCAAATAGAACTCTCTAACACATGCCCCATAAGAGTTACGCTTCTATGCTGTGATAGTACTAGAGATGTTTTGGACAGTAACATTTACTATGACAAAGTAAAGTGAAACTCAAACAATTAAAACTCAAAGCCTCGTTTACAACCCAGATCAAAACATGTCGAATTTAGGGTGCAGACTTGACCGTCAGGGTGGAAACGCACATTGCTTTTGGTCATCTTTGTACCACTGTAAAAAATAATTTCTGGCAGCACAAAGAGACAGAAAATAGACATCTATACCTTATGTCACATCACAATATAGCCGTGACAAAAGGCAGTGATAAACTGTCTTACTTTATTGTGGCAGATATCTATTTACTTTATGGTAGGAGAACATGGGCACCCAGAGCTGCCCCTACTCTTTTGCTGCTCCAGGCAGGCACTCCCAGGACCTAGGATACACTCTAATCCATTTCTATGGATACTATGGACTTGCCTAGAGAAAACAAGTGGTTTGGAATTGGGACTACTGGGGAAGGTTGGAGGAGCAAGGCCAGAGCCTAGAAGCAGGGCAGATCCCAGGAACAAGGCAGAGAGAATATAATAGGCCTGGGGTAAGACCAGAGCCCAGGAGCAGGGCAGAGCTAGGGCTAGAGGGAGCCTGGCATCCACAGTGGGGCAGAGATGAGGCTAGAGAGCCCATTGAATTGATTGAGCTTGGCAGAGACCAGGATTAGGGTGTGAACTGATTGATTGCAACTGAACTCCAATTAGCTTTGAGCATCAAGGACAATAAAAAGTCCTTTTTCAGGTATGTGGGGAGCCGGAGGAAAAGCAGGGGCAACATTGGACCCCTGCGGAACCAGATGGGGCAACTGACAACTGACGCCCAGGAAAAAGCCAACCTATTAAATAGGTACTTTGCGTCGGTCTTTCATCAATCCCATGGGACGCCCATGCCTGCTACGGGACAGGGAAGTCCAGGTGAGGGTGATCCCCTGCCCTCCATTGATGCTGACTTCGTGAAGGAACATCTTGAGGATTGGGGCCCCCCAAGCCCCAGAAGCGCTTGCCCTGCTTTCCCCACTTCCAGAGACAGGCCCTTGGCAATCTCCATGGCATGTCTCTGGAAGTGGGAACATTTTGCCCATTGTCCTGAAAGATCAATGGGTGGGACAACAGGCAAAGTGAGTTTCACCCAATAGAGAGAGTCTGGTTCATTTGGTGACATCTATTTCAAGACTCAGAGAACTCTTACTAGGTCATCTTTAGGCTAAAATGGACAAAAACACCCAGCAGTGATTTTATAAGCACTAATTGCAGAAAACAGGATAGCCTGCTTAAAATTTGCAAGCTTTCTTTGACAAAATATATTGGAAGGGCTTTCAGTGCATCAGAATTCCTGTATCAGTACAAACTAGAATAAAAGAACTGTGTTGATGGAGACTGACTGATGTACTGTCTTTTCAAATCAAATATTGAATCACTATAAAGAAATAATTCAATTTTACTGCACATAAATGACCCTAAAACAACATCTCATTGCCAAACAAGCCCCTTGTTTAACTAAAGACCAGAGAGAGGGGGAGTTTGCTTCAAAACTCTCTCACATTCCTTCACTGTAAGCTTGCTGAAGGGACAGAAGTTGCAGGGAAAAGGGAACCCTTCAGATCAAGGAAAAAGCAAACAGGCCAGCTACAGAGAAGTTTGCTAAGGAAGGTCTGCTTGGAAAGAGAGGCATGAAGTATGAGGCAGCAGATTAGAAGACCCAGAGACATGGCTGGAGAACGTCCCAATCTCAGAGCCACAGTAACTTTCAGCTCTTTCTCTGCTTCCACCTATGAGGCTTCTGTCCAGGCCTGGTTTGGTGCTGCGCAGACTGAGGCTTGCAGATTCCTTCCAGTGTTAGCCAGGTGGGGGAGTGCCTGAAATGTGAGTAGTGTCTTCTGGTGGTGTCCCTCAGGGAGAAGGCAAGAGAGCTATAAGAGGAGGTATCAAGGCTCTGTAGCATCCTTCACTATGAAGATCGATTCCATGCTGGAAGAAACGTCTAAGACTGTGGAGGAAGGACTACCAGAGGTGGTGCTAGAAAACAAAGAGTGCACAGACTCCCAAGAAGGAAGAAGCTAGAAGCTTGTATATTTTGGCAGCAAGAAGTCACTGTCATCCCCATGTGTAGTGGTTTGCCTGGAGAACAGATATGGAGCACTAGCAACAGAGGAGGAGTGCCAGGCCAGGAATTCCCAAGATGGATGAAAGAACAGGTTAGGAACTATTTAGAAAAGCTGGACGTGTACAACTTCATGGTGCTGGATGCAATGCATCTGAGGGTGGTGAGGGAGTTGGTTGATGTGATTTCAGAGCTGATGACCATCATCTTTGAAAACTCATAGAGATTGGGGGAGGTCCCGGATGATTGGAAAAGGGCAAACATAGTGCCCATCTTTAAGAAAGAGAAGGCAGAGTATCCAGGGAACTATAGACCAGTCAGCCTCATCCCAGTCCCCAGAAAAATCATAGAGCAGGTCCTCAAGGAATCCATTTCTAAGGACTTGGAGAAGAAGGTGATTAGGAACCATCAGCATGGATTCACCAAGGGCAAGTCATGCCTGATCAACCTGGTTGCCTTCTATGAAGAGATAATAGGGCTGTGCGAAGCTTCAGTCCCTGAATCGATTTGGACCGATTCAGTGGCCGAATCTCTGAATCTGAATAGAGTGAAAGGACCCTTTAATCTCTCTGAATCGAATCGAAACCCTCCGAATTGACTTTGAGATTCAGACATAGACACCGCTTTAAATGTTTTTTTCTATATACTTCAAGGTACCAGGCAGCTCGTGAATGTTGTGATGCCAGGGCAGATGAAGCATCCCACAGGAGCACAGGGGTTCCCCAGCGCACACGGCAGCAGACCAGAAGCACTTCCGGTCCACTTCCGGGTCCACCAGGGAACACGCACAGGATTCCCCCTGTGCCCCCCTGGCTCAACAACTGGTGCTTCCTGGGTCTGGGGGGGCACCTGGGGTCCCCCCGCAGCCGACTGCCGAGCTGTGGGGGGCCTGTGTGCTCCCCAGAGGACCTGGAAATGAAATGGAATTACTTCCAGTCCACTTCTGGGTTCACTGCCCCACGGTCCTGTGGGACACTCCATCCGCCCCCAGCATCGCAGCGTTCATGAGCCATGCCTGGTACCTCAAGGTATGTAGAAAAAACATTTAAAGCTGTGTCTATGGCCGAAGCGCCGATTCTCTGAATCAGAATCGAATCTTCCGATTCGGCTGAATCGA